GATACATCACCATATATGTCTAAATGATAGGGATGCTGGAGCGTTTTACAATGAAAACACATCCAATTTTAATGTAGTTCAAAAGAAGAAATGTTTATTTATGGATTAAAGCATCCAACGATCTGCTGCTCATAGTTGCTGAAATAGTGACAGCTTTTTTAAAAAAGAGAGCGAGAGAAAGCAAGAGAAGGAAAGACTTCACATCTTGCAGTCAGACATAGTGAGTGGCTCCATGTTCCAGACACACAAATAGAAAGCTCCTGGGTCTTTTGACACCAGTTGTGAACAGACGATATACAGCTTAAGTCTAAAGAAGCTAGAGGTTGCCTCTGGTGAAAGGGTGGAGATTGTGTGTCAAGCCCATCACAACTGTAGGGGGAATGCTTCAACATGTCTTGGGAAACATGATGTGTTTCTCCCTTTGGGGCTCTGCTTTACTAGCTGTTCAAGTTCAATAACATCATTTAAAAACTCCTGAAGTTGGTGAGGAGGTGACTGTTGGGATCCAAACCATAAAAGCATCCATTAAAGATTCTGCCCCCTCTTCTGGTATATTTAGTAGTTTCTTAAACTAAAAAGAACCTAGAGCAGTGCTTCTTAAACTGTGCTCCATGGCATACCGAGGCAGTCAGAGGCGTGCTGTGGAGAACAACAGAATTCAAAATGGCTGCCCTTAAAGGGGGAGGCAACCCTTTTTTTGCTTAATAACATAACTTCCCCCAACCCTTTTTTCCCCCCTCAATAACTTTCCCCCTGACCTTTTTATTTTTGTTTGTTTTTGCTCAACTAACCCTTGGTGTTCCTCATTAAAAAAAAATTGTGTGGTGCTCCTCGGTCTTAAAAAGTTTAAGAAACACTGACCTAGAGATTGTGGTTAACCTTTTAAAAAACTGGAGGCTAAAATTAAGCCTTGAACCTGTATTTAAGCACCTAGCTTGATTTGTAGAGGTTTTGAGCACCCACCTAGCAAAAAAATCAAAGAAATAAGAAACGAAATGCCAAGGTAGGGAGGGGATTTCTAGGATGCTCCTGCAGCACAATCTCAGCACCCTTCCCTCTGCTAGCTTCAGGAGCCCTCAAATAATGCTTTGAATTTGAACAACTAGGAATATGTACATAAGATTCTCCTTTAGCTAAAGGTGCTCCAGGTTACAATCCAGCCTTAATATTAAAACAATTCATTGTCTAACAAAGGAGAAAAGCCACTCTGACAACCCAAACAACTTGAAGTAGAGAAGTAGAGTGGTGGGTTGACCCAGCCCAAGTCTCTCTGAGAGGTCCTTTTTGAGTTATCTCTGTCCATACAACTGGAGGGATCTATGAATGGGATGATATGACAAGGAGTCTGGGTTAGTATTCCCACTAAGCTACATGGCAGAACAGCTTCACAGGTGATTAATCAGCCCCACCCAATCAGTCAGCTTTGTGCATGGAACCCTGAGTCTCTGAATAGGTGGGGCAGCTTAGAGGGAACACTGGTCTGGGTTTGATCACCAAGAGGTCCTGTACCATCCCTTGAGGCCAGAAAGACCATTGTGATCATCTAATCTAACCACCTGTAAAACACAGGACATAGAATCTTCATAACATAATTCCCACAGCATATCTGCTAGAAAAACATGCAATCTGGCCTTAAATATTATCAATAACGAAGAATACACCACAACCCTTGGTAAATTGTTTCAATGGTTAATTCTCTCACTGTTAAAAGTTCATGTCTTACTTCCATTCTGAATTTGTCTAGCTTCAGCTTTCAGTCATTAAATCGTTATACCTTTCTCCTCTATACGGAAAAGCCTACTATTAAATATTTGTTCCCCATATAGGTTCTTAACATTTCCTTTGTTAAGATAAGTAGACAGAGCTCCTTGAGTTTATCACTATAAGGCATATTTTCTAATCCTTTAATCGTTCTTGTGGCTCTTTTCTGAACCCTCTCTAATTTATCAACAGCCTTCTTTTGGACACAATATTCCAGCACTGGTTGCACCAGTGCCAAATATTTTCCTGTTTATACCTCTTAGGAGAACTTTCACTCTTTTGGCCACAGTGTCAAACTGGGAGCTCATGTTCAGCTGGCGAGATCAGTAATATATTTAGTGTTTTACTAAGGCAAATTTCACTAAACTGAGACAACCTGGAATTGATAGAGTAAGCCAAGGGTCCTAAGAAGGCATCCATGACAGGCAGAGTTAAGGACAATAGAAAGGATGTTTCCACTATATTTGGCATCCAGTGAGAGACTTAAGAAATTTTGGCAATAGTATCCTGACAATAGTATTGACAGAGTTGGCAATAGTATCCTGACAATAGTATTGGCCCATTGCAGTATTCCCTTGTTTCACCTTTTTATTAAAACAAACTTATTTAAAGAAGAAAATTCATTTATTTACACCACACAAGTGCCATGTAATGTCAATCTTTTAAAAATGTCCTAGAGGTAATTACGGCAATTACAAGCCAGTAAACCTAATTTCAGACCAAGGCAAATTGGTCAAAGAAACAGAATTATCAGGCAGATGTGCGAACATGTTATGTTGGGAATGATGAGTCAACACAGCTTTTAAAAAAGGATATCATGGCTCATCATCTATTCAAATTATTTCAGGATATGAGCATATATGTAAACAAAGACAATCCAGTTGCTATAGCTTACATGGACTTCCAGAAAGACTTTGACAAGGTCCTACTCCAAAGGTTTTTTAAGAAAAATAAGCAGTTATTATGTAAGAGGTAAGTCCTCTTAGAGATAAGTATTTCCTATCTTTTAACCAGTTAAAGTGTGGGAATAAATGGGCAGTTTTCATAAAGGATACAGATAAAAAGGTATCTCCCAAGGATCTTTACTGGAACCAGTGCTATTCAACAAACTCAAAAATGAGCTGGAAAAGGGGGTATGAGCTGGTGCATCAACACAACAGCTCCCCCTTTGGTTAGGCTGAGTGTTGCACCAGAGTCCACTCAGTCTGGCAGGGCAAACAGTCAGTTTTCCTTGCTTGAGTCCCACTGGGGTGTGTGAATTTTCTACTTATTTTTAGAGGGATCAGTTGTCCCCAGTATCCAAGGGGACTGGAACCCCCCTCAATTCTTAAGTCTCTCAGGGATTCTTAACTCTCCCAGAAAATTTCTTAAGTCTCTCACTGGATGCCAACTCAAAGCCTTTAAGCTAGATGGGCAGCAGGGCCATCCTTACCCATGGATGTAAGTACTGCTGTGTAGGGCACCCAAAAATGTGGGGCAGCACCAGGTATTAATGCTCACCTATTTACCTTTTCTTATCCCTGTTCTGTGGCTGCTACAACCCGGTGAGTCTTATCTAGATGAGCTAGTTAATTTAAAAGTTAAATCACCTCCTAGAAAGCCTATTAGTAGACCACTGAACTTGTGAAAGAGTCATGCAAGTGGTAATTAAGCCAATTAACAAGCACATACTGTCAGTTTCTGACTTTACTTTAGTCTATAGGGCCTTAGTTTAAAATTTCCTTTTAAAACATTATAGCATGTTATGGAAGATTATAGTCACATCTTTAAAAATGTTCCTTCCCCCAGGGCTGTTGTTGGGTATAGAGACACCAGTTTAATAGGACCTCATAAATCCCCTGATGGGCAGAATTGGAATTCAGCTACTCCTGATGTGTACTGTGCTCCTTCCTACTTCTCTTAATTTCTGTTGGTTTTGCAGCCTTTTGGTCCAGTTGTCCCTTCTCAGAGTGCTGTCTCTGCATGGCTTCTCAGCCCCTTATTCCTCCACTCCCCTGCTTTCTCTCTCTTTTATTCTTCCACCTGCTGTGAGGCTGCCAGTTAACATTGGCTGCTGGGCCAGCATGAGATATATACATCCCAAGACAGGGGATAAACAAAGTTTCAAAGTTTTTGCAGATAGACAATTACTCAATATAGTGTAACCCCCTTTTTCCTCCCTGGGTTACTCGAGAGCAGGTCACTCACAGGTAATGGTCTTGACATAAAAGAAAATCCTAAGTACCCCAGTGGTGATGTTGTTTTGTTGGGGAAAACCTATCCACCCCCTTGCTGTAGTCCTTTGCTCATAAAGAATGTACAGTGGTGGTGCCTCCACCTGGCTGGCCCTGTACACACTCACTGGTGTGCCTTGGGAACCTCCAGGAATAAACTTATTCCAGCAATAAACTGGATCTAACTCCAGAATAACAATTACAAATCATAAATAATATACATCTAATAGATTTCATTAGAATGAACAACCTTTAAGTTAAGTAAAGAAATAGGATTTAACAAATTAACAGTGAATAACATCAATTAACAAAGTACATAGAAGTAAAAGGAACTTATCTAGCTGCCATTTGCACTGCCAATATTTATTCCACCCCAGAGAGTGCACACCTCTGTACTCAGAGTTCTAGACTCTTGCTTGCGTGGGCGCGCTTGAAGAACTGCAGCTGTAATGGAGATTCTCTGTAGGTAGTGTGTATGTGGGTCCAAGCTATGCAGCAGCTCTAGTTCACCGGGCTGGCCTCTCTGCCTCTTTTTGAACCCAGAGTTAGTCTGAATCTCTGAGGTCTGTCCCAGGCAGCATATTCCCAAAGATGCCCAGTTACTCACAGTCTCCTTATGTGTGCTGGATGCCAAGTAGCTTCTAGCCACAAGTACAGCGAAAGTGCCTCCCCTTTAGGGCAATCAGAAGCAGCCTACTAGATCCCAGTTCCAAAGGCTTTCTGTCCCACTCTGTAACTGTAACATAACAGCTCCTGAAGTGGATAAAAACTCCTCCACAGCAGCCTGCCTCCCTTTTGTTCCAAAAATCAAAGGGAAGAGTCCATTGGCTGCTGAGTCTTCCTCCACACATGTGGAGAGACTCAGATCTCTAAAACAAAAGTCACTCCCTTCCTGTTTTCCTGCAGGGCTCATGGCAATTGTAGTCTGTGGGGCTAGATTGCAGCACACAGGGTCTTCCCAGAAAATAAGCAGAGGCACATTTAGTAAGGTGACTACAATACTTATTTCCATCTCGGATAACTCACTTTTAGGAAGTTATATGAGCACAATACCTCGCTTCATTCTTCATCCACAGAGTTAAGGACAAGATCGGCTCTTTGTTGTTGTGTTGAAAACATTACTTCGGTCTGGGAGTTTCATGGTTGGCGAAGTGCCCATTGTATCTATGGTGTAGATGTAATTAGATCAATGTTTAGAAGTTATTCAAAGGGTTAATGCAAGGTGCCCATATGTGTATTGCTTTCTAGATTATTTACCTGATTTCAAAGTATAAGTGACATATATCACATCAAACCTGCTTGTGCTAATGGACAGTGACTGGATTACTGACCTTTGTCAGCAAAGGATTTATTACCATCTGCTTTCTGTTGCCAAAGCCATTTCCTTTGACATCCCTGACATAATCCCAACATTGCTCCTGGGAGAAATCCATGGAGTGATATCCAAGAAGACTAAAAGGGGGAATCCAAAATGACAGCCAGAAGTATAATATTTGTGGGAGTGGGGGGAAAGGGAGTAGGGTTGTAGGGTTCCTTAGCACAAGAGATATCCCTTATTTATCATCTCTGAACAATAAGTTATGCTGAATGCTGCATAAAGCAGCAAGAAATCCCACTGGCAAATGTAGGTGGGTATTGCTTATAATTAATACAAATTTATTATTAATATTAATAATGATTATGATAATATCTGTAGGAAGAGTGGAATGGGTGCTAAGAAAATAACCGATTGATTTGGGAATACAGTTTTGTCAGTACTAGTGGGGAGAGGGAGTAAAAGAAAGGTATATCCATATTTCTCAGCTTGCTGTGGGCCTCATCCAGGCTCCCCTATGCTTCTGTGATCTCCTGTCCCTTTAAATGCACTCCTCCTTCCCCAGTGAAAAGCCCAACTTCCATGTTAATTTCAGTTTCTCTGGGGAATACTGAAGTGTGCAAGGCAGTTAGCTGTGTTTTAATCAGCTTCCTGTGTCTATCTCCTTCTTTTCTGGGTCCACATATAGCATATTGGCAACAAGGGATTTAAATCCCATGAGCATCCAGTGCTCCCACTGCCTAAACAAGGAGAAGAAAAAGTGTGCAGAGAATTTTTAAAAGGAGGAGAAGCTGACCTACCAACAGCAGGTCACATTGCTGCTACAATTTCCTCGAAGCAGGACATGAGTTGTCTAGCAAGAGGGGAAGTGTGCAGATAAAGACAGAACAAAGGGAAAGGATTTTTCATTTACTGCTGTAGCTGTTCAAAGTAGTGAAGGGGAAGCAAACAGCCATCTTGGCTGACCATCTGCAAGCAGGCAGAGGAACAGCCTGTAACCTGCACTGAGGTTCTACACCCAACAGAGGGAGCCCAAGGGCAACCACTGCATTCTGCAGTGTAGCCACAACTAGCAGAGAGAAATTAGGTGCCGGCAGTTCATTGTGAAAGAAGTCCAACAGGAGCGCAGTAAAAGGAACTTTTGGGGCAATGCTGGTGAATTCAACAACCACCTAGAATCATGGCTGGTGTTCCTCAGCCATTCATAGCAATTTCAACTATTCCCACAGTGACGGATCTCAAAGCATACAGCACTCTTACTACAGCAAAGCAAGAACATGTTTTTCTCCTGCCCCATCGATTGTAGCAAAATGATATTGGTTCCATCAGTGACATCAGGAAAATGAGCATCAGTAGGACAGTTCACTCCTGTCCTAAGAAATTTGTCAGAGCATTAGCAGTTCAGATAACATTGGAAGATGCCCTACTTGACCAATTGTTCTTTTCAGTGTCAAGATTTGGAAAAAGTTACTGATTTTATCAGTGCTTACATTCAAGAATGCTTTTGAAATAGCTATCACCATAGAACCCTCAAAAAGGATTCATTGGACTTTAATATGAACAAAGGAGTTGACCTGAACTGGAAAGACAGAGGACACTGGGAAAGTAGGGAATATCCATGTGGCTGTTGTACACAAGTCAAGCAGCGAAGATCTGCTGGATTTGCTGTGTTATTTTCAAGAAATGCCAGAAGAAAGGTCACATCACCATGACCTGTCACCCAGTTCAACAACCAGAAACACAGAATAACAATACAGCCAAGAAGACCTAGAGATCCAAGACAACTATGAAGACTGAAGCTGGGCATTCATAATGTGGAAGAAAACAAAAACTCTAGAGATACTGATAAAAACCTGCTACTACATATGTTATCGGAAGCTGGAATAAGAAATTAGATCTGGCAATTAACTTGTTTGGAGCACCTACAAGAATGGAGATAGATTCCGAAGGTGCAGTTTCACTGTTTTCTGCATCTATCACCAGACAGTGTCACAATTTCCTCTGGCAGAAATGTCCATTGTTTCAAAAACTTGTACCAGAGAAAAGAGAGTCTAAAAAAAGACTCCAGATTCAAGTAGATAGACAACTAGTTGTTTTACCCTTGTATGAGACTGAAAGAAAATATCCAGCATTATATGGCAGATCTTGGCTTGAGAAGCCCAAGGTGAACTGGATTGAGATCAAGGTGATCATGAGATCTTCATGAAATACTGCACAGTTTTAGAAAAAAACTTTGAACAGAAATTTGTCAGTGAAGCTCACTATCAGGTCGGACAGCCAGTCAAATTATTGCAAACCTAGGGCTATGCCTTATGCTCTGAAGATTCTGGCAGCAAATGATTTGAACTAAACACTGTACTCTTGACAATAATTGCACATGTTAAGTGGGCTACACCCATCATACCAGGGATAAAGAAGGATGATTCCATCTGCATTTGTGCAGATTTCAAAGTGACACTTATTCCAGTTTTATCTATAGATCAGAATCTACAACCTTGTATTGAAGATTTGTTTGCTACTTTTAGTAGTGGACAGTGTGTCAGTCTACAAATACAGACTGATCTGGCATCTCACATTTTACCTGGTAAAATGGCTTACTTTGTTACTACAGACTGCATTTCCATATCATATCAGTACCTGTCTTATTCCAGAAATCCATGAATGATATTCTGAAGGGATTAAGTGGAAATCCATTCTATTTGGATTACAAATTTCTTGTTATAGGAATGGATCAAGAACATCATCTTCAAAATTAGGGTGTTGTTTTGCAATGTTTAAAAGTCCATGGACTGAAAGTATGTTGCGATAAATATGAGTTTTTCAAACTTTCAGCTGAATACCTTGGACATGTAATTGATGCCACAGGCTTAAGGAAATCACCAAAGAAAGAAAAGGTGGATCTTTAAGCACCCCTGCCAAAGAATGTGTCACATTTACATTCATTCTTAGGTCTGTTCAACTACTATGGTAAATTTCTGCCTAACGTGGTAGCAGTACTGGCACCCAGTCATGATTTATGGCAAGCAAAGAAAAAAATGGGACTAAACTAAGGACTGTGACTGTGCATTTAAAGAATCAAAGACAATGTTCACATCAGCCAAACTTCACAACTTGATGAGCATGGAGTGCTGAAGTCAGTGGGGCCATTGGGATGGAACAGTCAGTTCACACGCAAGAAATTGCAGGATCAGTGGGGGATCTGTCTCTTTTGAGATGACCCTGTCTCTGTGGATCCAGCCAGAATCTCCTGCTTTTAGGGATCAAGCCAAATGCTATTTCTGCCTAGATCAAATCATGCTCCTTTCACCACCTCAATAGGCTAATTTATAGCAAATGCCAAATTCTTCACTTTTATAGGAATGGCCCATACAGAAGGTAAAAGAACATACTGTCAAATAACATCCTCTTATGCTTGTAAACTAAAGTATGTCCCATAACGTACCTCCACTATATATTGCAAATTGATTGTATTCTATTTGACATTCTTCTGATAATATTAGAAATGTGATATTTGATTTGCTTGTTTTATAAAGAAAAATCTAATTAAGTTGTAAGAAGGAAATCCAAACAGAAAAAAGAAACAAATCAATCAATGAGAAGGCAGGCAGGCAGGCAGGCAGGCAGGCAGGAAGGAAGGAAGGAAGGAAGGAAGGAAGGAAGGAAAGAACTGTGGTACAAAGTAAACTACTTCCATCAACACTGGAAACAAATGGCTAATAGTCAATGGTAAACTACTCATTTGAACTAGATATTTCAGGAGAGTTGTCAGTTTAGCCCTGAAATTAAACAGCACTGATAAGGTGACTTTCAATTTTAGCACATGCACAGGCTTGTCTTTCCCTGTTCTTTTTACCTTTGAAGTATATTAATGTTTACCATAAAATGAATCCTTGCATTACTGAGAAGAAATAAAAATAACTTCCTGTTTGTCAAGTTTAAACTATGAGTACCCTGGCTTACCAATGGAAGCCTGCCTTTTAGTCTTCCACCTTTTAAAACATTTTTTTCATCTTAGGTAAGGTCATAAATTTTAAAAATTGTTGTTGCTGCTCTTGTTGTTTTGTAAGGGTTTTAAGAAACTTAACAGGACAAAAGCTTTTGTGAGTTATTTTCCAAAGAAAAGAGGGGTTTTGTTGTGTTATCTTGGTGGAAAGAAGCAATGTTATTTGATGTCTCCTCCAGTATTGGAACCAAAGCACAATTGCACCAAGCATGAACAAAGCAAATCGAAATGGCCACAAGGTTAGTCAAAGAACAAGAAGAAGAACACAAAAAAACAAACCTGAGCATAACATAGAGAGTTATGGTAAGAGGCAATACACGGTGAGAGAGTCAGAGAAAAGATTACTACAGTATCCCTGGTTAAAGAACTACTAATGGCTGTGCATTGGATATACCATAGCAGATAGTAGAGAAAATGCAGATTACTTTTGTGGATGGGGGAGGTGAAACAGTCATGGTACACCCACTTACAAAACTGCTAACATTTCACCATAGTACCTTGGAAGGATCAGCTCACTGAAAATTGTCATCATGGTAGAGGTGGGAGACTTTTTTGGATGAATACATGATTTGCTGAAAGCTACAGTTTCAGTCAATCTGAAACTGTTCACGAGTTTGGCACAAATAGTTTCAGTCATTCATAAAGCAGCCAACATGGAGATTGTGGTGGTGCTGACATTCCCCTTTTCCCCTTCTCTCTGTAACCCAATTCCCAAGACTGTATTAAGACCTTTAAAACGGTCATTGAGAAATCTTATGGTGGAACCACTGATAAAGAGAAGAATGGGTCCATCTGACTGGTCACTTTGGTCAGCAAACTGAATTGCAACTCAGCCACAGTGGAGCT